TAACATTACCGGCCTGAATGTCCGAGAGAAATTTTCATAGAAAATATTCGTCCTTTGGAATCTGCATCCTATACGGAACCGTCATTTACGCTGACGTGCCTAACCTCTCAAAGGATCGTTTGGACGAGGTCGAATTTACCTTATATATATATATGGAATATCAAAAATACTTTTACAAATTTGGAGACGGGTTCCTTACATGGAAACAAGGACGAAATTCCATATATCTCCGCAAATCCTTCGTTTTTGAGTTAAGTTTAAAGTTTACAATAGCCATTGTTAAATGTACAATCCAAGATACAATCCCCAAATACTTATTACCATAGTGTGTGGTGCCACTGATCTTGTCTCAGTGACACAACGATAAAAAGCAGCAAATTTTAAATGACTGGGTTGCATTCGGTCTGGAAACACAATCTGATACAACTGTGCAACGTTGCGTTCATTAATATTCGTGCAGCCGTATGTAAAAATCATATCTACTGGCGATATGAATATCCTGCCACTGTTAACTCATTACTACACACGTTAACCGTTGAAGACAGACTAGACAAAAATGTACACGAATGACAAATGTAACCTAGTCTACATGGCAACACAGCGCCATCTACCGTAAACTTTCGTTAAACTTAAGCGAAGGATTTGCGGACATATATTTATATGGACTTTTGTCCTTCCGCCTCCAAAGTTTGTAAATTTTTTGATACACCATATATATATATATATATATATATATATATATATATATATATATATATATATATATATATATAAAAGCTAAGCAAAGTATGTAAAAACCGGAAACTTTCGTTAAAAACAACGAAAAACGCGCTAACTTGTTATGTAATAGCAATGCCTCTATATAGCAAAGAATGCTAGACAGTTTCCTCACAGATGAAGAAGACATCTGAGGCAACAAAAAATGTGGTTCTACAGAAGGATACTGAGAATACCATGAATTGAACATGTGAAGAACGAAGAAGTTTTAAAGAAAATGAAAAAAATGGACGCTTATACTTTTTCGGTACAAGGCGCAGGAGCCACTCGAGGTAGACGGTTACAGAGAAAGAGGCGCAGTTTATGCTGATATGTGGTGAAGATAATGGTTAACCCTAGATTTGAAAAAGTTAATATTTTAATGATCGGGGAAGCATTTCCTTGGAGTTGATTCAACACAAAAACAGCGATTCGTGGGAAGAAGCTGCTCGAGTGGAACTTACATCTCACCAGTTGAATACGAAGGGAATGAGGGTGGTTCGCTACAGTGGGCGTGGCATGGAGAGTCTTAGCTGTGAAGGCAACCAATGAATGTAGTCGGAGCAGTTTCTATAGAAACAACGAGGGAACAGCGAGAGGCTTGTCGCGCTTCGTCTATGAAGAAAGAGTTGTAGGGTGGAAAATAACTTGTTACCCACAAGGACGCGAAGACGATCTTCGACCCTATCGAGACTGGGCAGCTCCGGCCCATAAATTGCAACAGTAATCAATTCTTGGTTTGATTGCAAACGTTAGAGGATAGCAAGGAGAGTAAAGTGTAGTACAGAGAACTGAACATCTTTTTCTGCATCTTCAGCGATGGGTCGTATTGACTTGAGATCTGGGTTGAGTTTAAGTTTCAATACGCTCTTGATGCACGGAGCTTCCCTGAGGAAACATCCATTCATCGAGATTGGCAATAGCTCAGGGTAAGCAAAAAGAGGCAGCTGGAATTTATATTATACATAACGAGGAAAAAGGACTTGGGGAATTTGATACTCATAAGACATACTGAAGGCAGAAGAGACAGAGCAAAACAGCGAATATCCTACCTAATAAAATGACGGAACACGGACTAAGATTGCATGTAAAAGAATACGTTACTAAGTGATACAAAACATGGGAAATTGTGGAGGGTCATGATCGCCCATGTCGTGAATAATCATGGCATATAGAAGATAATTGTGTAACGATATTTAGCTACAGATATCAAAAACTAAGAGTTATTACTGGACATCTCTATCTGTCCAAAATAAATAAAATTTAAAAAAAAATAAATAAATCTTCTTCTATTCTGGACCTTGTCCCTTCAGGACGTGGGTGATCATGGATCTTCACAATTTCTCATTCTTTATAACTCTTAGCAACGTTTGTTCATTTGCCAAGCCTTATGCACACCATTTAGATCTGCATTTACACTAGCTTGTCAGGTTTTCGCTGTTCACAGCTCTCCCCATTTTCCCTCAAATTCTCCATGCCCTCCTTCCTTTTTATGTTTTTAAGAAATTTCTAACCTCTTTGTGATTCTCTTTTTCGTTTCCTTCTTTTTTCTTAAGAATTCTTCATTGCCTACATTCCCCGTCTATGGAATTCTCAGAATCCTTTTGTAGAACGATATTTCTTTTACTTCTAGTTTTCTCTTTATCTGTGAGGAGATTGTCCTGCATTATCTGCCATCTAGGAGGACTGAAATGTTCCTGTTTCTTAGAACTTTACTTGTCATTTGGAATGTATCTTTCGATATCCCAATGTACTTTCATTCTCAAAAAACACGACGTAAGATTCACTAGATTTTTTTTATTCATAATGTTGAGTGTGTTAAAATTATTGAAGTTTTTAACAAAAATAAATGTCAAATTGATGTTAAAAATTGCCGCAAAATATTGTTAATCTATTTAAGATGGAATGATCTATTATGACATGTCTCTAATTTGTATTTAGATGCATTGCATTTATTGTCAATTTTTCTAGTCGAATTGTTCACTTATACTACATATGATCCATTATTACACATAATTAGCTTACAATAAAATCTGTATTTTATATGAATACTACCTTATGACAATTTCGATGTAGTAGAGTGGGTGATCCCATATCATAGGTTTGGGAAACGTATCATAGATTCGGGGAGTAACACTCACACACACACATATATATATATATATATATATATATATATATATATATATATATATATATATATATATATATATAAAGAAATATAGTCTTAAGATGTGCTATATTTATAGGATAAAGTGCTCAATATCAGAGTAAATATAAAAGCGAACATTGAAGTCAACAAAGAGGCGACATGCTGTTTCATGCTAGGCCTGACGATTGCGTCTAGCACGAAACAGCCTGTCACCTCGAAAGTGTGTTAAATAATGTTACTTATATATATATATATATATATATATATATATATATATATATATATATATATATTGTAATTAAAAGAAAGAACAGTAAGATATATAATCCGGTGTTCTTATTGATAATATTATTTTTACAAAACAGTGCTCAATATAAATATTTACAGAGGATAAATATTTATAAATTAACTGATTTAAAATATGGTTTCTTCGCTATACAGGAATTACCATGTTTCAAAAACCGAAGCTAAAAACTTCAAATTTAATTATATAATTAAATTAAAAGCATTAGTTCTGTTTCATCTTCAAGCGAATTTTAGAATAACTAATTTTTTTTAAATTTACTGAGTTTTAAACGCACATACAATTCATAATTTTTTCCAAGGATACTGACACAAACACCCCTTTTAGAAAGAATCTTTGAGGATACAAGTACGAACTTAATGGAAAAAATGCCGAAAAACATTTTGTCGTGGAAAAAAAAAAAAAAAAAAAAAAAAACAGACATGCGTTGAACGGATTTCAAAATAATTGATACAACAATAGTTAATAAAAATGAACACGCTACCGCCCCTGTCTAAATGATTGGATTTCTCTGTATCCTTGGAAAGAAAAAATAATGAATTTTATATTGCGTTTAAAACTCAGTAAATTTTTAAAAAAATAAGTTATTCAAAATTCGCTTGAAGATGAAACAGAACCAATGCTTTTAATTTAATTATATAATTAAATTTGAAGTTTTTAGCTTCGGTTTTTTAAACATGGTAATTCCTGTATAGCTGTATAGCGAAGAAACCATATTTTAAATCAGTTAATTTATTATTATTATATATATATATATATATATATATATATATATATATATATATATATATATATAATTTCTGACGTGAAGCAGCGCGTAGGGAAAAAGAAAAGATGTTGACTGTGTCTCTTAAAAACCAGAATTTGTTATCAGAATATGACAAGTCCTGATTATGTGGCCCTAAGATACGTGCACACAAGCCCCTTCTATTTGTTTCTCCCTCATAGATCCACTTCGGCCTCTGACTAGCGTCGTCGCTACTTATTCGTTCGGGGGAAATAAGTTATTGCCATGTGGAAGTAAAGCTGGTTTGAATCTGTCAGCTTTTTAAGGTGGAGGGAGCTTAGAAATGGATGAAAACATTGATACGGACCGGGTGGGGAGGCGCAAATCATGCCTGAATTCAACAGGGTAGGATTGATGGCTGGGGGTGGTGTTGAGACAAAGTGAAAAGCGTTCACGCCCTCTTAGTGTTACAAATTAGTCGACTTAGTAATGCTTTGGCCTTTTACTATATACCTGTCTCTCTGGATGGTTTTTATAGAAGCTGTCAAAAATAAAAATAAGAAAAAAAAAACGGTGATGTGGTCAGCAGGGTTGAAAACAAAAAATAAAGCACAAAAAAATAAATTAAATAAGAGACCTCAAGTAACAATCGTGATGTGACAGTATATATATATATATATATATATATATATATATATATATATATATATATATATATATATTCCCTTCCTGAGAAAGAAGTTAGCGAAGTGGGAATAGTGATTGTCGCACAGTAGGTTTTATCAAATTAAATATACATATAGACGCCAAAAGCGATCTGGGTTAGTCAGTGTACAAACTACAGGAGATTTGGCAAAAAATATGCAGCTATTTAAACTAGTCGCGATCTGGCTTCTTTTTGTGGGGGGGAGGGGGTTAGTGTATATGACTATGGCTGTGATGGTAGCGTAGCAGTTATCGGGGCGGAAAGTTAATTTGGCCTCCCGACTTCAATTATTTAAAAAATATACATATTAAATCTAGGGAGTCACAACAATTAAAGGGGCTTAAAGTCGCATCACGGTGAAACACCGGTTCCGGTACGATCAATGAAGTTAAGCAACGTCGAGCCTGGTCAGTATCTAGGTGGGTGACCGCTTCGGAATAGTAGGTACTGTAAGCTTGAATGTGCTTGTAGTCTAAAGGTCTTTCGGTCGCATCACGGTGAAACACCGTTTCCCGTAGAATCACTGAAGCTGAACCGTAAAACACGAATCAATAAATAAAAGTAAAGGTTTACAAATAAAATGATAATGCGCAATGAAGTGTGCAAGAGGAATGAAGCAGTCAGTGATCGGAAATGGAGATTATGAGGATAAGGGGGATAGATAACGATTGACCTTTGACTTGAAATGGTAAAGTCTAAACAGTTCAGTGAAGTAACCACGCAAGTCTCTGTTCCACAAAGTAGCAGATCTTGGGTAAAAATATGGAAGATATATGGCTGATTCGATTCTATGGAAGTGGCAACAGATGTTTGAACTGGTGAAACTAAAGAATGGAGTTGATCTGAACATTTCTCATGGAAATAGAGATAGAATATCAACAGGACAGCGTCTGTGGAGAGAGGTGAAAAATCAGTCTTTCTCTACAAAACTGCGGAAACGATTTTGAACAAGGCTGGGAAATGAAGAATAAAGAGATCCAGCCCAAACATAGGAACAGTACGCTATTTGTGTTTCAGCTGACTCTTGTCATGATAAAGCATGCGGGTACCTGAAGCGACAGAAAGAGCCGATAATTTTTCCAGCATTTTTAGCAATGGATGCATATGCTAGTTCTCCTTTTCCGTTAATCACTTCATCCCAAGCAAGGTAATAAAGCCACTAAGACGCAAGTGGTCACTGAGTGTGAAAGTATAAGAGAAAAAAAAACATTATTAAGGAGCGTGAAAAGTAAAAGGACTGGAATGGCGATTAATATTGCAACTGAATTTTTAAAACAAAAACAAGGAGTGCGAATCAAGGACATTTTTTAATCGAGCAAGGTAGTAAAGCCACTAAGATACAAGAGGTTACTGGGTGTGGAAAAATTAGTAAACATTATTAGGAAGTGAACAACAGAAGTTTAACCAAGAGGACAGTAGATAGCGACTGACACTGAATTTAATTTTTTGAAGATTAAAGTTGACTAGAAAACATGGATCACGACGAGAGTTCTACAAGCGAGAAGTGCGAGAAAAGAAACCGATTGCATTGAACTTACGGTTAGCTGTAAATTGGTGAGACCTCCGCGCCAGTCTGCACTTAAGTTCATAAAGTCTAGGTACCATAGTGGAGAGCTCGTCCGAACCATTATCGTGAAAGTATTTATTAAAAAAAGGCGCAGAGAAGCAACTTTACGGCGGTGGGAAAGAGACTGGAGCCGAGACGCCAGATCAGGACCAATAATATTGCTGATTTTTCTTTAGCTCTCATCAAATAACTCTAGATAAATCTCAAGAACACCGGACCATATGTGGCAGCAATATTCTAAGCATAAACGAACGGTACACTTATAGATATGTAAGATAGATTCTGGAGAGAAAAATTGTCTAACACGACACAGTGAACCAATTTTCTTAGTAGCTGATTTAGTACATTAAACTTCATATAAAAACAAAAAGCAAGGTCAGTTAGGCAAATAGAGATAAAAAGAGCGAAAGATTTTTACGGTAATGTGTTTTATTTCGATATTATTATTATTATTATTATTATTATTATTATTGAATAGACAAAATCTTGTCAAAAATTATTGGGACTGTTGCTATGGTAACATAGCTAAAGTACGCAGAGTGAGGTCATTTGTCTCAGATTGACCTTCCAATATGTCGCGCATGAACACTAAGGTATAAGTACTCGATCACTCGATCACTTCCGTTGTTTATAGAAATGCTTGGAAAGAAGGGTGTAGAGTGTGGTCTCTATCACCACGCACACACACACAAAAAAAAAAAAAAAATTTGAAAACGTGTCTTCGCAGGTGTTGAATCTTTGGTGTTTGGCTGTGACGCAAACCATGGATCAGTCTTCGCAGCGGAAGACAACCAACCACTCCGAAACCGAAGAAAGCACGAATGAGTCAAGACAATGTGAAGACACTGTTGGCAGTTTTCCTCTACTACGGCTTGTGCAACAATGTTGGGCCAGTTACGACATTCCCCATGTCAGACAACCACGATATTTCCCACGTCTCGCCCATTGCGACTTTTTTTCCTCCTCCTAAAAAACAAATCCCACTTGAACGGAAAAAAGATATCAAAACGTCTTGGAAATCCAAGCGAATGTGACAAAGCAACTGCTCGCTATCCTAAAAGGGAGTTCCGGGAATACTTCTCTCAATGGAAGCGTCTCTGGATAAAGTGTGTGGCTTCAGAAGGGGACTACTTCGAAGGAGATTAAATACGAAATTGATATGTGTTATAGTTTTCTTTTTAAATAAAGTGTGTGAATTCAGAAGGGGAGTACTTCGAAGGAGATTAAATACGAAATTGATATGTGTTATAGATTTCTTTTTAAATAAAGTGTGTGAATTCAGAAGGGG